TTATATGTATGTACAAATTTGTTATTATTCTAGCAAAGGACTCAAGAGCGTATTTTTGATGATTTTCGTGCGATGATAGACGCCGATCCAACAGAATTTAATGTTCTAAATCACGGCGATTTTTGGGCTAACAATATTATGTTCCAGTACGATGCTTTTGGCAAAATTAAGGAAACATACTTCGTAGACTTTCAGTGCTCGCGATATGGCTCACCGGTGCATGATCTCTACAATTTGTTGCTCTCTTCAACACAATACGAAATCAAGTTGAAACATTTTGATTATTTCATTAAGTATTATCACGACCAGCTGATTGAGTGCTTGAAATTGCTAAGATATCCGAAGAAGTTGCCTGCCTTGAAGGATATTCACATAGCGCTGTACAAATATGGTGTATGGGGTGAGTATGGAAAGGAAACGAAAATTTTGTTAAAATATTTAGAAAAATTGTGTAATCGTAAAATTTTTCATCTAACGAAAAATTTGTGTTTAATAAAATTTTAACATAATTTTTGATTGACTTAACTATTGACTAGTAATCATCAACCGATCGCATCAACTTATTTAGCGACTTGAACGTATTAAATAAACATTGACTTATCTCCCAGGTTTAGCCGCTGCTTCCGGTCATATGGCTATTGTGTTGCTCGATCCAACCGAATCGGCCAATATTGAAAATTTACTTGGCAATACTCCAGATGCCGTGGAATTCAAAAAGCTAATGTATACAAATAAGCGATATCGGAAACATGCTGAAGCCGTTTTGCCATGGCTTCATAATCGTGGCGCTTTTGAAATGTAAAACAAAAACAAAAACAAAATGCAGCGTTGTGATAACAGAATTATTGATATATTTTCTATGAACAAATAGGTGCAAACAAACATGCATGTGCATATACACTGAGGGAAAAAAATATTAAAATCAAATACAAACGTAATTGATCTTACTATAAATGTCAACGAAAGTACTGTATATTGGTAAATATTCAATTCAATTACGCACATATTAAAATTACCGCGTTCGTACTGAAAAAGCATCCGTGAAGTGAATAATCAAGACAAAAACTAAAAAAAAAAATTTATTTGTATGTGTTGCCTGTAGTGGAACTCGAACCCGACCATCTCCGGATATCAAGAACTTGTGGCAAGCATCTCTGCGCACTCAGCTACACCCAGACATATAATTTTTCTTTCAAATGTTGAATATCCATCAACACCACAGCACGCGATTTGTACGGATAAACATGTATGTGTTATGTATGTATGTGTGTGTTGTCACGGCTCTCAGAGCGGCGTTCTGCATTCTTGGGGTGCGTATGTACACTTACATCAAGAATGATTGAATATTTCTTAATTTCTATTTCTCTCAATCGTGCACTTAAATATACATACTCAGATGTGAACAGTCAAATACGTGCATAAATTTTTGTATGAAAATATTATTTTTAAATACGAACATTTTTAAACGATAATCAAATATAAAGTATTCATTTTTACTATGTATTATTTCCCTCAGTGTATTTTATCAGCATAGATGCGGCAATATCTAATAAGACGCAATATTTTTATGTATACTACATTCATATATATTATTTGTAATTTATCTAAGTAATCAAACAAAGCGTACATATATCATATAATAAACAAGCTTTGACTCAATTGAAGGTTATTTTATTTAATCTAAGTGGAATTTCGTCATATTTTTAGGTACAGTATATTTTGCTTTGCTGCCTTTATGCCTAAGTGCACATTTAAGATACCTACCCAAAAATGCGCATCAGAGGCATTATTTTTAACATTTATAAAGAAACTGCTCCGATAGATGCATTCAACATACCTGCACATTGGCGACACCTGCCTTTGTGCGACTAGTATCAATTATCAATGAAAGTATTACGTTTACCTGCACGGGCCCTCCAATTACCTAATTTTACAAGCTTTTATTTATTTTGCTCACCTCGCAGAACAATGAAAATGGCTATTAATTTATGTAGTTATATAGATATACCTGGATACCTTCCTCATTGAAGTAGTAAAGAAAATTCGCTTAAGTGCCTTTTTTCGGTGAAGTGCACAAGTTTTTCGTGCAAAGAAGGATGTGCAGCTAAGCAAAATATACTGTATGTCTTTGTACATGTATATGCGTGACAGTAAAAACCCGATATGCCTCAGTACAAATGGTAGCTAAACTAATTATTAAGCTGGCGACCCCACTCATAAGAGATTGAAGCTTCTTGAACTCCTCCAATTTTGTATTCGTTTTTATTTTAAGCATAATTTTATTTAAAGCGATATCTTCATTATTATTTATAGGATACAAGTGTATACATAGATAGAGGAATTACATTTATAAAAAATCATATTTAAACATTAGAGGTATGAAAGATATACCTTATATAGCACCAATCTAAGTGATTTTCACTGCTGTGTGATCGGTATGTAAACCGGTAACACAATGTAATGGGTTTAGCTTCCTACATTAAGGAAATATATCGCAAAAACTGGTATAGGAACAATCAGTGGTATAAGAGATAAAGCATAGATTTTGACGATTTTCTCAGTAGACTTTGTATTATTATTTATACAATAGCTTACGAAACTAATCGGTTGTAGCTGTCCAAATAAATTAGTTTTACATTAAAATACCATATCTGAACAATCAGTTGTATGGAGGCAATATATAAGTTATAAATAGTGACCCGATCTTTGTTAATTTCACTGTAAACTATATGTTGATAATGAGTGAAAATGGTGAGAATTTTCATGTGTAGCTGCATAAATGGAGAAGTTATGGCAAACAATCTCATATCTGAATAATCAGTTGTATGGAGGCTATAGGTTATAGCGACCCGATCTTCGCCATTTTCATTGAAAGTATTCTTTTGATAATGAGTGACAACAGTGCAAAATTTCATGTTCTTAGCTGCATAAATGGAGAAGTTATAACGAAAAATCTCATATCTGAACAATCATTTGTATGGGAGCTATATGTTATAGAGGTCCGATTCTTGCGGTTCCGACAAGTGATTAATACAATATAAAAATACACCCACCTACCAAATTTCATCCGGATATCTCGAAAACTGAGAGACTAGATAGCATACAAACAGACGGACAGACAGACAGACAGACAGACAGTCAGACGGACAGACGGACATGGCTAAATCGACGCAGCTCGACGTTCCGATCATTTAAGTATACATTTTAATGGGTCTATCTTTTCTTATTCTGGTACTTACAAAGATCGGACCAAAGTTATAATACCATTTCATGCTCATGAAAGGTATAAAAAAACTGTATAGGGTTGGTCGAATGAATGGCCGCCCTAGTCACCAGTTCCGAGGCTATTCGATTTCTGAGTATGAGGCCTTATGTTGGGCAAAAGGGGGAGTATAAAGGACTCAAAATAGAGAAAATTTGCCAATGATTACAGAAGATATGGAATAAATTAACCGACGAAGACTTGCGTGCCGCTACCGCTTTTCTCTCAAAGTGTTTACTGCTGGTAAACCCAAATAAAGCTTAAAATTTAAAAACTAATTAAAAACTAATTAAATTAAAATCTGTGGAAAATTTTTTCACAAAATCTATAAAGGACCCTTTTATTTTTTCAACAAAACCTGGGTAACAGTTATTCGTCGCCACTCTGTATATGTTAGTCAGCTTTGCGAGCATAAACCACGAGAACAGACCTGATAGCAGCTCGCCCCCCACTTGTTCCGAAAAAAAACTTAAACAGTGTCAGCCTTTGGAACTTAATATTGCTTGAAGAAACCGTTTGGCGATGATTACGAGTTTAAATTAGTAGTTTTCAACATACGTCATATTTATGAGACTTACATTTTTTAAATCTTGTTGGCGACCCTTAAAAGTTTTTTAAAAATTTTAAAATTTTCATGGAAGTCTTTATTTAGTACATAGAACAAAATTTATATTTTTAAAGACTACCCTAGTCCATATTTACATATGTATGTATGGGTACTGTGTCAGAATTTCAAAATAAATTTCAATGACTCAAATTCTATTTCAAAATGCATTCAAGCTAATTTGTTTTAGAACTTTTACAGCTGGTTTCACCAGAAATTTAAATAGAAAATGATTTTTTATTTTGTCAATTTCCATATAAAATTACAAAAATTGAAATCATTTTTCACTTATTTTGCTTTCGTGAAATTGGCTGTTATGAATAAATATAATCGATTGTGAATTGATAAGGCTAGGATAAGATCGTTTATGATAACAAAAAATTTTATAGATGATAAATGCCAAAATTTGTTAGGTCATTGACAAACCACCTTCCACCAGTTAAATTTGCCGTAGCGTGTGTTATTCAGCTAAAAAGTCGTATGACTTAGATTAGAAATAAAAGCATTTAGAAAGCTCTGGTGATTCAATTAGAATGACAACGCGTTTTCGGGCGGAGGTTTTTGCTTATCTAATAGCCTTCCCGTTTTGATTGGAAAATGAACGCGCTGCAGTGAATTTTTACCGTACCTGTACGCTAAGCTAAAGGGATGCCTTTGTTTCCTCAAATGTATTCAGAATAAGACAAGTC